TTTTTCTGTTTTTTTAGTGTTGCAACGGCAATTTTCGGTGCACGGACATTGTGGATTCAAAAGTTAAAGTAGCGGTGGTAGCATTGAAAGGCAGCGGCGGCGGCGTGGTGGAATCGGACAGTCGGCAAATAATTCTTCGAGTTTGACATTATTATTCTTCTTCTTCTTCTTCCTGAAGGTACGAATTAAGTTTTCACAAATTGGAAGAAAATGCTATGGAAATTGAAAGAAATTTATTTGAAGGGTTTTTGTATATTTTTTTTGTTTGGGCAGGGATGTGCCGAAAATTTTTAAGGTGCCGTTTTTCTTCCCTTTTGTTTTCTTGGGTTTGGAATAGAAATGAACTTCATGTTCAGATATGGGATGGGTTTGGTTGATGGTTTTTGCCGGAAAAAATCATGATGAAAAAGTGGAGGACTGGTTGAAGAAGATGGCTTAATTGAAAATATAAAGGACTCAATTGAAAATCTTAAAAACTTCATTTTGGTACTTATAAAATTTTTGGTTGCATTTTGGTATTTCGTGTCAAAAAATGAACAGCCACTCTCATCCATGGCGAGTGAAGTGCACGGTGAGCTCTTAAGGGCCTTCTTGCCTTTGACTAATTTTTATAGGGGGGTATTTGCTAATTGTTTTAACACGAGGTCGTTTTCAGCAATTCGAGATTACACAGGGGTGGTTTTTGCAGAAAACCTTTATATTTTTATTTAAATTATCCACGTGTCAATCATCCGATGACATCCGATTTCCTATTAAAACAGACCATCCGATCTAAATTTGCACCCAAATTTATATTTCAAAGTTGATGCAGTAGTTCCATTATTTGTCCTTAAATCTTAAGATTAGATTCTGGCTAAGAGGCCGAAACCCCAAGTCTTATATGGGCCCAAAAATTATATATATTTTTGTGGATAATTAGTTTTGGCCATATATTATACATCTTTTTCGATTTTGGTCATTAAATTTTTTGGCACGAAATTGGTCCTCAAATAACTAGTTTTTTTTAACAATTTTTGTTTACCGTTTGAAATTGCTGTTAGTTTGGATGGAAAGGTCACGTGCAAGGCATGTGATCATGCTGTTATACCCCCTATTTTACCTATATTTTTTATTTGGCCCCAATTTAACTTTATTATTACACATTCGTCCAAAAAAATCAAATCTCCAAATATTTGTTCCGAATGCCCCATCCATGTCCCGTCTGCCATTTTCAACTCCGCCGCCGAGCAATCAATTTTACATTTGTGTCACTTTTAATTGAAATGATTTCTAATTGATTTGTTTTTTTTTTTTTTTTTTTTTGCATTTTATTTAAAATTAAAATGCTATTAAAAATTTATTAAAGAATAATATAAATACAATAAAATTTATAAGATTATAGGCAAAATCGGTTTTATTGTATAAACGACTAAAAACAATATTTATGAAATTACAATATATGTTTAATTATTTTTTACATATCAATAATTCCAAATAATGAAATAAATTGTATTTATAAAATTAAAACAAAAATACTCTTTAATGAAATTTGGTATAATCAAATTAGTTAGAGTGTTTTCGATTAAAAAAATTTTAAAAAAGAAATAAACGATATTTGTGAATAAAATATAATGTAGTTATTCCTAGAAACCCTCCTATGTCATTTTTGTCATTTCACATTTTAGTAATACATTTCTCGAATTTAATTTATTTGGACTAAATTGTAAGAATGAAGTGATATTGGGGTTACACCAACAATATAGGTGAAAAGAAGGGGTTAATGTTCATTGTCACATCCCTCGCACGTGACTTTTCCGTCCATACAAACGGCAATTTTAAATGGTGGACGGAATTTGTAAAAACAACTAGTTATTTGAGGACCAATTTCGTGCAAGAAAAATTGAAGGACCAAAATAAAAAAGGTGTATAATATATGGACCAAAACTATAATTATCCCTATTTTATATGTTAAATTTCATGCATATTAAATTTATTTGGAAAAATTATGGCTACCCCTTGAGGTAAGGTCAAATTATGAGGGAAAAAAACCCTCCTATTTGGTTAATTACAAGACCCCTCAATTATGAATCTTCTTACACGTTCACCCTTATAATGTCAAATTTAACACAATCTTCTAGCTTTCGGGGAATGCTCTCTAGTTTGGACTCATTTTGGGCAAAACAAAAATGCAGTTTTCTGATTCACCGTGATATTTACAAGTCAAAAGACACATCTTATGATCATCTTGTTTCAAAAGGTGGAGCTTGAGGGGTAAAACTGATACAAACTCGGGAATATTCTACATAATCTAGAAGATTTCACTAAATTTAACACTACAATAGTGGAGGTGTGTGAGAAAATTCATAGTTGAAGGGTGATTGTAATTATCTAAGCATTAGGGATTTTTTTCTTAATTTGATCTTAACTCAGCGGGTGAGCGTCGCCTTGAACCCCATTATTCAATGGTAAAATTAATAATCCATGCTCGCGCGTCCATAAAAGTCGGATTGACACTGATTACGATATCATTAATAAAATTGAAAATTGAAAATTGCAATTTACTCGATATTTAATTCGAGACGACCACTAAAAAAATCGTTAAGCCCAATTCGTTATATAATTGAACCAAATCATTCAATGTTGTATTCGAGATCGACCATTAATAATCTAATTTGTTGAGCTTGGTTCTTTACCGTGAGAAACCAAACCTTAACACATACTTCATCTGTTCCACAATAACTGTTTCTTTTTAAAATTATTTTTGTTTCATATTAATAGTCACTTTACATTTCCAATACTGCATTAATTGTGTAATTATCAATTTTACCATTATTAACTATCTCCAACACGATCTCACATTAATTATTGACAAGGGCATTTTAGTATAAGAAAATATTTTTTTTAGAATTAAGTAACATTTATTGAGATTCTTAATCCTTGTGCACAAGCTAAAACGACAATTATAAAGGAATGGTGGGAGTATTTTGTTCAATAAAGCTCGGTTCAATTAAAAAGAAAAAAAAAACATAAAATATTTTAAAACGATGAAGTAACACAATTACTCAAAAAATCTTGGTGTATGTCTCAAATCGCAATTAAACCTAGCTCAAAAATCGACGCAATAGATAATAATTAAATTAAACTCAAATAAAATTCGATAAATTTTTTGGATAAACTCAAAAGACTATAATCAATTCGACTCGACTAAAACATAAAATATGGTAAACGATTAAGAAACCAAACTTGAACATATATTTTGTTCAATAAAGCTCGGTTCAGTTAAAAAAAACATAATATATGTTAAACGATTAAGTAACACGAATACTCATAAAAGATTGGTGTATATCTAAATTAAACCTAGCTCAAAAATCGACGCAATAGATAATAATTAAATTAAACTCAAATAAAATTCGAAATTTTTTGGATAAACTCAAAAGACTATAATCAATTCGACTCGACTAAAACATAAAATATGGTAAACGATTAAGAAACCAAACTTGAACATATATTTTGTTCAATAAAGCTCGGTTCAGTTAAAAAAAACATAATATATGTTAAACGATTAAGTAACACGAATACTCATAAAAGATTGGTGTATATCTAAATTAAACCTAGCTCAAAAATCGACGCAATAGATAATAATTAAATTAAACTCAAATAAAATTCGATAAATTTTTTGGATAAACTCAAAAGACTATAATCAATTCGACTCGACTAAAACATAAAATATGGTAAACGATTAAGAAACCAAACTTGAACATATATTTTGTTCAATAAAGCTCGGTTACGTTCAGTTAAAAAAACATAATATATGTTAAACGATTAAGTAACACGAATACTCAGAAAAAAATGGTGTATGTCTGAAATCACAATTAAACCTAGTTCAAAAATCGACACACTTGATAATAATTAAATTAAATTCAAATAAAATCTGATAAAATCTCGAATAAAATCGAAACACTATAATCAATTCGAATCGACTAAAACATTAAATATGTTAAAGATTTAAGAAACCAAACTTGAACATATAGATTGGTTCAATAAAAGCTTAGTTCGATTAACAAATAAACATAAAGTATAGTAAATGATTAAGTAACACAAATACTCGAAAAAGATTGGTGTATATCTCAATTAAACCTAGTTCAAATTTCGACGCAATTGATAATAATTATTTAAATTAAACTCAAATAAAATTCGATAACATTTTGAATAAACTCGAAACATTATAATCAATTTGACTCGACTAAAACATAAAATATGTTAAACGATTATGAAACCAAACTTGAACATATATTTTGTCCAATAAAGCATGGCTTGATTAAAAAAAACATAAAATATGTTAAACGATTAATTAACACGATTACTTAGAAAAAAAATAGTGTATGTCTCAAATAACAGTTAAACCTAGTTAAAAAATCGACGCAATTGATAATAATTAAATTAAACCCAAATAAAATTCAATGGAATTTCGAAAAAAAACTCGAAACACTATAATCAATTAGAATCGACTAAACATAAAATATGTTAAACGATTTAAGAAACCAAACTTGAACATATATTTTGTCCAATAAAGCTTGGCTCGATTAAAAAAAACATAAAATATGTTAAACGATTAAGTAACACGAATACTACAAATACATTGGTGTGTATCTTAATTAAACCTAGTTCAAATTTCGACGCATTCGATAATAATTAAATTAAACTAAAAAAGAAAATCGATAAAATTTCAAAACACTGTAATCAATTCGACTCGACTCGACTCGTTTACACGCGTAGGCCCGGAAAGAGAGAAAGGAAGTAAAGGAAAAAAAAATCAGGGGGCGAAGCAGACCAAATCTAGTTGGATTGGATTCAAACACTTGTAAAATAAAAAAAAAAAAAAAAAAAAAGAAGATTTGGAATGAAATCGACGGCTCTAATCACAAAAGAAGTTTCTTAATCCAACGGCTGAGAATACAAGTGGTTCATCTCAGGCTTCCCCCATGAAAACCTCATAAATCCTCTTCTCAATTCAGTTCAGCCTCCACACAACTCCTCTCTCTCTCTCTCTCTCTCTCTCTCTCTCTCTCTCTCTCTCTTCTCTCTCTCTAGGACTGTAGATGCACATATACATAAAACTTCACCGTATCTATATTATCTCCACAATATTCTTCTTCTACAATTAAAATAAAAAAACATTATTTTTATTTGGTAGGATTAAATTTCTGGAAGATGCAAGCGAATAACGATTCCGAATCTCAACCGAGTAATAATCCCCAAAAGGATGGTGGGAACAACGACGACGAGAGCACTAGTGACAACAAGGTGGCGGCGGCGCCGCCGATAGCGGCGGCGGCGGCGCAGGGGCAGCAGTGGGTGGCGATGCCGTACCCGCCGGCGGCGGCGGCGATGGTAATGCAGCATGGGATGATACCGGCGCCGCATTACGCGCCGCACTACATGCCCTTCCACCACCCACACCCTCACCCACACCACCGCCACCACTACCACCACCAGCCGCCGCCGCCGCCGTCTCCGCAGCATCATCAGGGCGGCAACGGCAATGGGGAGAATCGCACGATCTGGGTGGGTGACCTACATAATTGGATGGACGAACAGTATCTCCGCACTTGCTTCGATTCGACCGGAGAGGTATTTTCTTGAATTTATTTTTTCCTTTTAATTCCCCTTAATTATTCTTTTTTTTTTTTTTTTTTTTATTAATGTTGTAAAAAGAATTGATTTTTATTTATGGGTTTTTGTTTCTTGACGTTTGTTTTATTGAGTAATGGTTGTTGATGTGACTATTAATTGTTTTCGAGTAAAAGTGGAGACTTTCGTATGTGTTTTTAGCTTTATTAGCCATAGATTTGAGGCATAAATGAATACGATTTCGAACCAAGAATCGACGATATTATACTACTCGAAAAATAACAAATTTTATCTATAAATATTTATATATATAATATGTTAGGTTTTTGAGAAGCAAGCGGTGGGCCCCGTGTAGCCTTATGCTGGCTCCGCCACTGCGATGTGATTTACCTGTGTTTTTCAAATTTGAAAAGTAAAACTTTTCATGGTTTTACTTTGTTCTATTGAGTTCTAAAGTTATTGATTAGTTTTTTTCATATCTAATTTACAATAGAACCTCCATAAATTAAATTAATAACCTCGCTTAAATAATAATTTTTCTCGGTACTCAGCAAAAACGTATTAAATTATTAGTTCGGTAATTTTATATTTCGATAAATTAATAGAATTTTGCTAGTTCCGACTCTATTTCGTTGAATCTTGTACAATATAGTAACTTTGGTCCAACCGAACAAGTTTTTCGACAAATTCATAACTTCGTTTTATTTTCTTTTAGGCGATGCAAGAACTTCCTTCTAATAGTATTGCTGTTAGAACTGAAATTGTCATTTTGACCGATCTTGTTTTTCCAAGTACCATCAAGAACTAGCAATTCCAATTCCAACTTTTTTCGTTCTTTTTTGCAATTTCAAGAGTTCGATGTTTCAAGTTTGGCTTTGACTTTGACGATCCTTTTCTGCAGGTTTCCTCGATAAAGCTCATTCGCAATAAGCAAACGGGGTCCACCGAAGGGTACGGATTTGTGGAATTCTCAACTCACGCCGCAGCCGAAAAAGTCCTCCAATCCTATTCTTGCATGGCTATGCCCAGCACCGATCAATTTTTCCGTTTGAATTGGGCTACATTCAGCATGGGCGACAAACGTTCGAATATGAACGGCTCAGATCGCTCCATCTTCGTAGGGGACTTAGCCGCTGATGTCACCGACACATTACTGCACGAGACTTTTTCCACTAAATACCCCTCCGTTAAAGCTGCTAAAGTTGTCATTGATGCTATTACGGGCCGCTCGAAAGGCTACGGTTTCGTTAGGTTCGAAGATGATAGTGAAAGATCGCAGGCTATGACTGAAATGAACGGTGTTTATTGCTCGAGTAGGCCCATGCGAATTGGCCCAGCTACTCCGAGGAAGTCGTCTGGTTATCAGCAACAATACTCGCCACAAGGTATGTCTAATATTTATTGCAATTTGTTTTATTTTTTATTTTTTATTTTTTACTTATACTCCTAACGCTTCATAGTATCTGTCGTTCAAGGTTCTTACACACATATTAAGAAATTTATTTATATATGGTTGAATTTTAGGAAAAGACGTAAGAAAGATAAAATAGCCTTTGTCGTTAATTCTTGATAGAGTTGGATTCATCGTTTTTAATTTCGACGTTATTGTTTTAATAGGTGGGTACTCAAATGGCTTCTCTGCGCACGGCTCGCAATTATCTGATGGAGATTCCGTGAACACGACAGTTTGTCAACCGCTCCTATCTTATTTTTCCCTTATATATAAATATGTATGTATAAAATAATTTGGCTAATATTTTTATTTTTGATAGATTTTTGTTGGAGGACTCGACCCTAGTGTCACAGACGAAGAACTGAGGCAGCCCTTTTCGGAATACGGTGAAATAGTATCTGTCAAAATACCAGTTGGAAAAGGATGTGGCTTTGTACAATTCGTCAACAGGTACGCACTTCAGTATGTTTATTTAAATACCAATTTATTTATCATCTCACGAAAAGAATTCCAATTTTTAAATTACAATATTTGACAAATACAATTTTGACAGGAACGATGCCGAGGAGGCATTGCAGCAGTTGAGTGGTAAAACAATTGGAAAGCAAACTGTTCGTCTTTCGTGGGGGCATAGCCCTGCAAATAAACAGGCAAGTAATTAGTCAAAAAAAAAAAAACAATCAAAATTCACTTTTTTAATTACATAATTCAATTTTTAAATCTTATTGATATATATTCTTTCGCTGCAATTTTTCCAGTCGAGGGTCGATTATGCACATCAATGGACAGGTGCAGCGTACTACGGTGGTCCCTACTTCGACGGCTATGGATATGCTTTGCCGCCACCTCACGATCCGAATATGTACGCCGCTGCATATGGTGCGTACCCGTTTTACGGGACCCATCAACAGCAAGTAAGCTGAAAGAAAAAAAAAAGAAAAAAGTTCGCTCTGCCAATAAAAAAATAACATTTTTTTTTCGCATACGTGGAGCAAAACCGTATACCTCACATGTTTGTTGTGTGTGTTTTGGGCCGATCCGCACGCACACACACGAGCGTGGAATTTTGATCCGATTTTTTTTAGGTAGTAAGTTAGCTCTCTAGGGAAAATACTTAAGTGAGGATTTTTGTTTTGTTTAGAAGTGTGTATGGACTTGATATTGAAGACTCTACTTCTAGATTTATTAGAATAAAAATGTGATCTTTCAATGAATTATTTTGATTGAGATACATTTATAATTTATAATAAATACTTTGATTTATAATTTTTGGGGTGCGTTATTTTGGTTGTTCTTTGTTTGATGTTTGAACTGAGGTGAATATACGATTGGATTTATCGTGGCTTGCTTCGTTTCTTTTTCGTATTTGCGCACAGTGAAAATGTTTGTTCTGCAATATTGATGTTGAAAATCATTTAGCAATTCTATGTTTTAGAGTTTGATGATTAAAGCTAAATGTGAGATGAAGACATGTTAAAATACAATAAAAATGAGATGGAAATTGTTTTACAATGCCAATGACAACTAGGGATGAAAATCGGGCGGTGGGATAAATAATTAGCACATTCGGAAAATTCTTATTTTCCGAAGCGAAAATACTAATTCTAATTTTGTTAAGAAAATCGACAAAGTATTGGAATTTAAATTCGGATCAAAATTAGCACAACTCGAAGTCGGATAGATCAGAAAGGAATAAGCCTTTCCAAAAGGCCCGAAAATTTTGGAATTTCGGAAAAAATATCGGAAATAACATAAGTTTTAAAATTTCTAAGCATAACGGAATTTTTTGAAATTTAATCTTTTTTCAAAAATAAGAACATCCACGTCGTTAAAAGTAAAACTAATAATTACCAAATTTCAATTTAAAAAAAAAATAAAAAAAAAAACAAACCACATCATAATATCCAATAAAACCTCTAACAACAATTCAATTCAATATGTCAAAATCTTAAAACAAAACTTAAATCAAATATTGTTTGTTTCATAGAAGGAAAAAAAACTTAAAATTAGTATTATATAATATATATATATATTATTTATAGGGCATATTACAAATAAGCCCATCAGTGGGAACTTATTCATAAAGAGATCCAGACAATATTCTCCTTTACCAATAAGTCCACACATGGTCCAGATTTATGTAAAGGACTAAAATAACCCCTCTTACTTTTATATGCTCCAATTTCATCCTTAACTTAATTTAACTTCAATTTGACCCCAAATTTCACAAATTATTCAATTTTGACCCAAAACTTTTTTTTTTTCACAAAATTTTTTTTTTCAAAAACTTTTTTTTTCCGCCGGATTCCGGCGTTGACTTTTATTATTTTTTTGACTTTTAAATTTTTTTTTTTTTTTTTTTTTCTTCCGGATTTTTTTTCCGGATTCCGGCGTTGACCGGCGGTAAACACCGGTCTCCGGCGTTGACTTTTTTTTATTTTTTTTATTTTATTTTTTTTTTTAATTTTTTTTTCTGTAACTTTTTTTTCCGTTTAAACAACAATATTGCTTTGAATGACAGTAATATTAACTATATTACTGTTAAACACAGTAAAAATAACTAAACTATAGTTTAACACAGTGATATTGCTATATTAATCTCTAGCACATTAATATTAACACAACAAAATTCATTATTATTGTATAATAAAGTAATATTACTATGTTGTCCGTTCAACAAATGTAAACAAAATAAAAAAAACCAAAAGAATTAATATTACTGTGAGTGACAGTAATATTACTATAGCAACAGTAATATTACTATAGCAACAGTAATATTACAATAGTAGACAGTAATATTATTACGTTACTCCGTGAATAACTCAAACAAACAAAATATCCAAACAAAAGAATAATATTGATGTGGTTGACAGGAATATTACTATAACAAACAGTAATATTACCGTCAACCACAGTAATATTATTGTGTTTACAGTAATATTACAATAATAGACAGTAATATTAATACAAACACCACAAAAAAATAATAATATTGATGTTGTTGACAGTAATATTATTGTGTTTACAGTTATTTTACTGTCAACGACAGTAATATAATTACGTTGACTTGTCAACAAATAAAAAAAAAATAAAAAAAAATAATAATAAATAAAAAAATATAATATTGCATTAATTTACTGTCAACGGCAACACAATTACATAAATGTAATGTCAACGGCAGTACAATTACGTTAATTAACTATCATTGACAGTATAATTACGTTAATTTACTGTCAGTGACAGCACAATTACGGTCAACGTTTAGCGGCGGACGTGGAAAAACAAAACAAACCAAACAAAACAAAACAAAAAACTTAAAAAAACACTAAAAAAAGAGACCGCCGGAAACCGGCGAAAAAATCCGGAAGAAAAGAAAAGAAAAAAAAAAGAAAAGAAAAAAGCAAAAAAAAAAAAAAAACAAAAAAAAAAAGTCAACGCCGGAGACCGGCGTTGACCGCCGGTCAACGCTGGAAACCGGCGAAAAAATCCGGAAGAAAGAAAAAAAAAAAAAAATTTAAAAAAAGTCAACGCCGGAGACCGGCGTTGACCGCCGGTCAACGCCGGAATCCGGCGGCAAAAAAAAGTTTTTGAAAAAAAAAATATTTTATGAAAAAAAAAATTTTTGGGTCAAAATTTAATAATTTGTGAAATTTGGGGTCAAATTGAGATTAAATTAAGTTAAGGATGAAATTGGAGCATATTAAATTATACTCCAAAAAAAAGTCAAAATTGAATTTTTGTGGTCAAAATTGAACTTTTATGGACAAAATTGATTAATTTGGATTACAATTAAGAATTGGGTATAAATGGTTGAGGGTAATATTGGGATATACATGAATGTTTCCTTTAGTTATAATAAATATTAAAGGGATGGGCTTATTGGTAAAAGATATATGTCCCCTAAACCTAGAATAATAAACATGCTTGGTTGGAGACTTTTGCATAAAAATCCCTTATTTATAAGTGTCTTCCTTAGAAAAAAAATTTGGGAATTTTTTGGAATTATTTTCAGAAATTAAATCGGATCGGAAATTCTATAAGTTTTTTGTTATATAATTTCAATTCTAAATCCAAAAAAAAATTGGGAAATTTCAAAAATCAAAATTTCGTAAGTCAGAATGAAAAAGGTTATCAAAAATCGGAACTTTTCGGATTGGAACCGGCGAAAATTGGAATTTCAGATACATTTAAGATTTTTCTTTGTAATTAACATATTTTTCTCAAAAAAATATGAAAATAAAAATAAATAAATAAAAGAATAAAAAGTTATTTTTTCTTTTTAACATTTTAGAATTACATTTAATTACTACATGTAATCCCGATCCATGTGCCCTCTTTTCGGGGCAAGCTCAACACAGGAAAAAAAAATGGCTGCATTTTCTCTCTCTAACTTCTCTCCGGTTCCTGCTGCAATTCAATGCTCCTCTTCATCTTCTTCTTCGCAGCTTCGGAGCAGAAGAATATTCCTCAAAATTGAGGCTTTCGCTTCATTTTCAGCTAATTTGCCGCCTTCATCTTCAAATCCTAAAGTCGTCGTGACGAGAGAGCGCGGCAAAAACGGCAAACTTATTGACGCTTTGGTAATTCATTCGTTTCTTACGGAATTATTTATTCCCTTTATGCTGAATTCTATTCTTTTTGGAAATTTAATTGAATAATTTGTATTGATTTAGGGATTGTACATCACTAGTTTTGCTGTGGGAATAATACGCTTTTGTATTGCACTACTGTTATCTATAAAAAGGTGCAGATTACTGAAAATGGAATTAGCTGGTGGTTGTGGTTTTTCTATATTTCTCTGTTGATGTTCCTTTTTTTTTTTTTTTTTTTTTTTTGTGTGTGTGGTTTTAGAAATGATGGATTCAGGAAAACAAAATTAGGGCAAATTACGACAACCCCCGAGTTAACGTCAAATTACAAAAAAACTTCAAATATGAATCTTCTTTCACGTTCACCCTTCTAGTGTCACATTTAGTGGAATTTTCTAGATTACGTGAAATATTCTCCAATTTGTACCCATTTTATCCCATTCAAGCTTCACATTTTGAAACAAGATGATCGTAAGATGTGTCTCTTGGCTTGTAAGTCTCAGATTGTGGTGCATCTTGGCTTGTAAATATCAGATTGTGGTGCATTAGAAACTGTATTTTTGCACAAAACTGCACAAAACGAGTACAACGTAGAGAAGATTCCACGGAATGTAGAAAATTCTATTGAATTTGACACCATACGGGTGGACGTGTAAGAAGATTCATAGTTAAGGAGTGGTTGTACCCAGACATGAGGGATTTTTTCGTAATTTGACCTACCCTCAGGTCGCCGTAATTTACCCAAAAAATTATCAACTAACTAATTTGGATTGGGTCTGAAGGGGTTTCTGAGAAAGGATGAATAGGATGTTGTTACTATATCAAATGTAATATTGTTTTCTTGTGAGAAGAGAGGATGTGGCTTAACAACGAGCACAAGCTCTAAGATCTAAGTATAGTTGATCTATATTATTCGATCGACTGGAACTCTTTCTATTTCCTTTCCCGCGTGGAACTGATTGTACCTACGTTGTCTTTCGACTAATAAATTTGCTTACCCTGCAATTATAGCAAGCGATTCTTGAATGTCAACTCGACATGTGTTTGCTAAGTTCCTCTCAATAGCATAAATCTCTAGAGTATTTCATCGTAAACCTTAGTACGGGGTTGTAACATGTTCCTATTTTTCAGGCAACTCGTGGGATTACCTCTCTGGAGCTTCCGCTGATTCAGCATACGAGGTTACCTGATTCAGACAAGCTTTCTTCCGTATTAAGGAGTAAGAACCAAATGATTTCATGCCTTTGTTTTTTTCGTGGTGTTTGAAGAGTTGAGGCATTTTTCATTTCCATTTCCAATCCTTTGCTACCAGCAAATACGAGCTGTATTGCTCTTTTTAAGATAGTTCCCCTGTTCAAAAATGTGTGTATATATATATATATATATATATATTGTATTGAATAGTCGTTAATATATCTGATTATTCATCGTGCTGCAGGCACTTCATTCGACTGGATCATCATAACTTCACCCGAAGCTGGTGTAGTTTTTCTCGATGCGTGGAAGTAAGATTCAGCAGCTTCGACAATAATTCTAAATAAAAAAAAAAAAAAAAAAATCGCAAGTGTCTTGCCTAGATAACAAGTTACTAATTAATCGTGTGGATATCCTATTGGCTGATTTCATTCATCATCTCAAGATTTTGATCGACAGAGCTGCAGGAACACCGAAAGTTAGGGTCGGAGTTGTTGGAGCTGGTACAGCGAGTGTATTCGAGAAACTTCAGCCTCCGTCAAAACAAAGCCTGAATGTGGCCTTTTCACCATCAAAAGGTGTTTTTAAAGATATTTTCCGTATTTCTACACACTATAAATAAAACAAATTAAAAAGAGAAAGAGCGCCGACATAGGCATACCTTTCTGCTAGTGTAACTTTTTTCATTCGTGTACAGTAAATAACTTTTAAGCTGTGATTTAATCAGCTATTGGCAAGGTTTTGGCAGCTGAGCTTCCGAACGACGGAAACGGAAGGTGCACTGCTTTGTATCCCGCTTCTGCAAAAGCTGGCCATGAAATCGGTGAGAGCTAAAATATATTTTTAATTTTTAAAATCGACTAATTTGACGTTCGGAGCTTAACGTAATTCGAAGTTCTGATACTTCAAACATGATCATATTATATTGATAAACAACCAAGCACATGCAAAAAAACAAAGATTACTCGTAAAAAATACCAGAACTAATCAATTGTATACTGCTGGATTTCATCGTTTTTGTGCATATTATATAACTCGTGAAATTCAAGTTACGATTCAATTCAATCTCTGTTTTAGAGGAAGGTCTCGCAAAGCGTGGGTTTGAGGTTACAAGACTGAACACATATACCACGGTACGAGAAATTCTATATAAGTAAATTCAAAACATTAATTAAATGGCCTTTAAATTTTTAATTTAACTCGTATTTTTCGTCGGAGGATTTTATTTTTCTTGCAGGAGCCCGTAAATAATGTGGACGAGAAGATTTTGGAACAAGCACTTTCTGCTGCTGTTATTGCTGTAGCATCACCTTCTGCAATTCGGTAAACTGGTCCGATAACTTGTGATAGGCTACGCTTAATCACGTGTATACCTTATTTTATTATTTTTTTTATATATTCCATTGTAATTCGTATCGAACCAATTACGGAATCACTTCTACTAACCAGGGCTTGGATTAGCTTAATACCGGAAACACGAAAATGGGATAACGCTGTTGCGTGTATCGGGGAGACAACTGCCGTTTCTGCCAAGAAACAGGGGTTGAGGAATGTATACTATCCCGAAAATCCAGGCATTGAAGGGTATTTTTGTAACATATATATGTGTATGTATATATGTATTATGTCGCCACATCAGATTTCAAAATATAATTCGACTTTTTTGTTCAGGTGGGTTAATAGCATTTTGGAAGCCTTACAAGTCGAAAACCAGTTGCAGAAGATCTAACCATGTACATCTGCGGTAATGTATCTATGAGGTAGCCAAGGATATATATATAAATTCGGTTAACGACATTTTTTTAGAGCGATTAATGTTAATTAATATCTCGAGTGTAAATATATTTTTTCATTACCCAAAATAAAAATACCTATCTTGATTTTAATTATTATTGCATTCAATAGTTTTTTTCTTGTACAGAAGTTGTTTAGTGTAGCTCCATGTTGATATAATATAAATATAGGGTAAATTACGGTCACCCCATGATGTAAGGTTAAATTACGAAGAAATCCATCTTGTTTGGGTAATTACAATATAGGGTAAATTACGGTCACCCCCTGAGGTAAGGTTAAATTACGAAGAAATTCATCTTGTTTGGGTAATTACAATCATCCCTCAATGAATTTTCTTACACCTCCACCCTTGCGGTTTTAAATTTAGTGGAATCTTCTAGATTATGTGGAATATTATCTAGTTTGTACCAACTTTTACTCCGTTCGAGCTCCTGATTTTGAAATAAGATGATCATAAGATGTGGCTCTTGTCTTGTAAATATCTGCATCAAAAACTGCATTTTTTGTACAAAATGAGTACAAACTAAAGAATATTCCACGGAATCTAGAAGATTATGTTGAATTTGACACCATAAAGGTGGACGTGTAAGAAGATTCATAGTTAAATTGAGGATTTTTTTTTTTTTTTCGTAGTTTGACCTTACTTCACGGATGCTCGTAATTTACCCTATAATAATGATATATTTGTCTAGGGTAAATTACAGTTTTCACCTCTCAAGTTTGCATTGATTTCACTGTTTGTCCCGAATGTTCACAAAAAACACATTTGATCCCTCATATTTCAACAATTTAACACTTTTGGTCATTTCCGTCAATTTACTGTTAGTCCGTCAGTTAAGACAGTTTTGAGCAAATTCTTGACTCCATAGTTACTAACGGAAAATTGACAGAAATTATTAAAAGTGTTGAATTTTTAAAACTTGAGGTATCAAATGTATTTTTCGTGAACATAAGGGACTAAATGTGGAATTAATGCAAACTTAAGGGATGAAAACTATATTTATCCCATTTGTCTTGACATAGATCTCTGGTCTTTTGTACTCGTTGCTGAAAAATAGGCACACGTGAATACTGAAATATTTTATTTGGAAAGAACAGAGGACAATCATGCATGGTGAGGATATGACAGCTGGCAAAGCCAAATCGAATATGCTATCTATATTAATATGACTGGTTAATAATTAAATGTGAAAATATTCTTTACTATATATGTTTCTCTAATTTGTCTCATTACCAGATTCTTTTTGTTTTTTCCACACATGTAGTTTGGAATCTTCCACTGATTATATTAAATTTTGCTAATTTCAGAAAATTAAAAACATTTAATTTGTTGGATTAAGATTCTGTCAATAAGAAGACAAGGTAGAACCATGTGGCGTTGAATAACAATGTTTTTGGACACTTTCATGAGTACTTAATAGTTAATTAGTATACAACGATCTAATCGTTCGATCGGTTAGAAAAAGTCGACATCGAACCTTTTTTGTCTCGTCTATCAAATAATATTGTGCGTAATAATATTTTAGCGTCATTAATAATAATTTATCCTCTTGATTAAGTCCATGAGTCGATGTTTTTGGTTCGTTTAAAGTTTTGCCGTGCTCTTGCTAGTGGCCGAATTGTAACATGAAATGATTTATACAGTTTCATTTTTACTGTTTTTTTTTTCTCTCTCTCTCTCTTCCTCCACTTTTCCTTCTCTCTAGGTTTTTTTTTCTCCCTCGTGCTCCCAAAGTAGGCGTGCAGAAGCACATTCATCAACCATAGAGAGAAGGCTTCTAAAAATTGAAACAGTATTCGTAAAATCGAAACTGCATTTATCAACTCCCCATTGTAATTTGTGAAGAGGGTTTTGGGCATCGCCTCAGAATTTTTTTTGAAGGGGTATTAACATTAGGTAGCATAACGTAAATCAAAATATAATATTATCTTTTCAAAATACGGTGATTTGTGATTCGTGAAAAATACTATTAAGTGAACTAGTATAATCTAACATGCATATTTTTTGGATTGTAAGTGAGCCGAGATCCACCGGCTCAAACAAAATATCGAAAATGGATTTATTTATTTATTTTGATAAAAAAAATGAATTTTTTATTTAAAGAAGAAAAGGCTGCAAAATGGACAAAAATGGAAGCTCGTGAAGCTTAAAATCATTTGTAGAACTTTTGTAAAGTTGAAGGTATAAGAACAGCTTGATGCTATTTAATTTGTTCATTTATACTTTTACACATTGAGTTTGAGTTACGTTTCCAAGTTCTTCTTTTTATATTGGGGTTTTAAGAAAATGTAAATCTTACTCAATCTATATGATTCATTTCATACCCTTGATTCATCTCTCGTCTCATTAGGGGTGAAAATCGGGTTGGTCCAATCAAAGTTGACACTTTCTCAGAAAAAAATAGTTTTTTTTTTTTCTTTTTCGTTTGGGAATTGGAAAACTAATTTTAATTTTGTTCCAACCCTTAATAAGGATGATATAGTCAAGAAGAACTTTCGGATAATATACGTACTTAATAACGATGATATAATAAATGCAATTTATTTTTCCGAGAAGACGTGGAAGTTTTGAAAAATAAAATCGGTTAAAAAAAAATTGAACTCATATATTACAATTACATCAAAACATTTTGGAAAATTTGTACTTTTGGGATTCGAAATGAAAAATATTGTAAAAATATGGATCAGAATAAGTGATATTCAAAATTTCAGTTCTAATTTTTTTTTTCTCCCTCATATATTCAATTAAGAAAAATAGAAAAAAACTGTATTAAGTGTGGCTGCTGGGATTCGAGCCCAGGTCTCCACGGCCACAACGTGGAATTCTTACCACTAAACTACAGCCACTTTGATGCTAAGTTTCTAGCGTTTATATTATTATAGTAATAAATATAAACCGTCAAACAAAGCATAATAAGTGGTTGAGGTGGATAAATATGTTAGAACTGATAATCAAGTCCCAAAAGATAGAAATGTAGCTTTTTTCTATCTTTTGTGTAATGACTAATGACTTCACACCACAAAAAAGAAAAGAAGAAAAGGGTCTTAGTTAATTATTTCTATTTTGTTGTCATGCTCACAAAAAGTGAGACCACAGAAAACAATGGAGATTACACATTCTGGCCTTTCCTAAATAATGTAGCCATGTATGTATCAAGTGTCCTTGCAAGAAAAAAAAATGAAAAAACGAGAAAATGAAGAAATACGAACCAAAATACCGAAAATCGCACCTTTACGAATTATCTCGTGCTGGAAATCATCGAACCCTATATAGTTAATTTGTTATGTTTCGTTTTTTAGTGAATACTCGAACCAAATGCACCCAAACGCTTAAGACGACATTGTTTTATAAGTGTAAGTTCAATTGTGTATAGAATTAGTTATAAGGATGAAATCAAAATTTCAATAGTCACAACATCCTATATAATCGATGAATTTTTTAGAAATATAACATTAAATTGCGTGATTTTTATTGAAACAAGAAAAAAAAATGCTTATTGTTTTCTTTTTTTGGTAACGAAGGAACCTGCAACCAACAATATAGCTGCACTGGGTAAACTCTACACTCACGTATAATAACTTGCAAACTGTACGAGAAACAAAAATGCTTATCCTTATTATTAGGTGTTATTGTCAACACTTTGGAATTTTTAACAAAAAAAATTCACTTATAATACTCAAAAAACAATCTTTTGCAAACCCTTTTATTTTTCAAAAGTATTCTCTCAATTAAATCCATAATGTGATATATATTACCCATTCTAAACCGCTATTTACTAAATAAAACATTCTTTTATTAAATTCTAACATTAATACAAATCAAATCGAAGGTTTTATTATGATAAGTATAATATAAAAGAAAAAAAATTGATGGAAGTGAGTGAACTTTAATATTGGGGATAGAGTTCAATAATTAAAGTGGGGATATTGTAATTGATATTGATTTTCAATTACCCATTTAAAAATAAAAAAGTGATTTTTTTTTAGTACAAAAAGTTAGTTGCCTACTTTTTAAATATCCAGCTTTAATGATAATGATAGTGCATTATTGTTATTACATATGGTCCATTTGCTTCATAACACCACTTCCTGAAAGAAGAGCAGACAAAGCCAAAAATGTCTATGGTCCTATTTTTTATTTAGGTAATAAAGTTATATTGAAAAAAAAGAATTTGTACGAGTTCTTTAACGATTCACGATTGCTATATTTTTCGATTCGAGCTCGTCACAAAATCATAATTTGATCAGTGCAATTATTTATACATTTCGAGTGGTTTGGTTTGCGAATTATTGCACGATAGTGAAATTTGCATAGTGCACGTATGTAACTGTGAATTATTTTTGTAAAAATAAAAATTAAAAAAGAAAGTCGCGATATATGTTAAAAAAATGAAAATTACGGTTTTATTGATGCCAAAGCAATCGACTGAGACACGTAATTGGAAGTGGTTGATAATGTTTGCCTCCTATCAATATCTTTTAGCCTTATTTATTGAATTATATATATAAATCTCTTATCTTAATAAAAATTTGTGTAGTCTTTACAAAAAAATATGTAATAATTTGGCATAATTATGCACCCATTTTATATTTCATGATATAAATGGAAGTTGTTTTTTTTGTTAAACACATTTTGTTGCCAATTTTCTATGAATTGATTAGGAACTATTAATAATTGAGAAGTTGAGATTCGAGAGTCGAGAGTATATTTGGTCGATTTTGGAGCATATTTACATTTTATTTTAGAAAAAATGTTTTGAGAAAATTTTGATAAAAATAAGCAACCTTTGTTTGCATTGTAGCAGTAAAATCATATTTAAAAAATGATAGATTAATGTATCTTAATTTAAAAAAAAATTTAAATAAATAAAATGATTTTTTTATTTTTTTGTATTTTAGTAACACATGGTTAGACATTTATTATATGGTTGCCACAAATTGATTTTATTCTTGTCTGGTAATTAATGGATATTTCTTGATAAAACAATTAATATTTACCTGAAAAATACTTCCGGCGGTTTTTAATTGGTTTTCTCGAAATTGATATTTCACCATCTAGGCATCTACAAATTAAATTTGTCCTTCCTAT